GTAATAAGGTCCATTACTTTTCTGCTGTTGACCATCCAGGGCTGAGAGCAGGGGCTCCTGCTATCAGCCGCCCAGGGCTGACAGCTGTGGCTTGTGCTATCAGCCCTGCATACGATGGAGAATCCCACTGTCGAAATTGCAATGGAAGCTTAATACAGTAACTCCTCACTTAATGTTGTCCCGGTTAATGTTGTTTCGTTGCTCATGCTCATTTAAAGTTGCACAATGCTCCCTTATAACGTTGCTTGGCAGCCGCCTGCTTTGTCCACTACTTGCAGAAAGAGCTGCCCATTGGAGCTAGCTGGTGGGGGCTTGGAACCAGGGTGGACCAGCAGCCCCCCTATCAGCTCCCCTAAATTTCCTCTGCGGCAGCTGCCCAGCAGGCTATCAATTGCTGTGCAGTTCAGCTGTCCCTCCCCCAGTGCCCTGTGCTGCTCCTGCCCTCTGCCTTGGAGCTTGTCCCAGGAGCCTCCTGCTTCGGGGGGGGGGGGGGGGGGGGTGCGGGTGTCGGGGTGTCCCCCCCCCCCCCCATTCCTGCCCCCCATCTCCACAGATCGGGGGGGACATGACAGGGCTCAGGATTGAGCAAGGTTGCTGGTAGCAGCTGCTGTCTCAAGTTGCTGATCTACTTAAAAAGGCAGTGTACTTAGTGGGGTCAGTGTACTTAAAGGGGCAATGCGCATCTCACACACACCACACCACACACACACCACCCACCCACCCACCCACAGTGTGTGTCTGTCTCCTCCCTCCATTTGTGCTGCCTTGTAGAGTGTGAGGTTACATTAACAACGTGTTAACCCTTGAGGGCTCAGCTGAGTGCTACTTCATCATTTAGCAGTAAGGCATTCCTTGGGAAATATCCCACCCTCTGCCTCCATCCCCTCAACCAAGCTTCATAAACATCATTGCTGTGTACAATATTAAATTGTTTAAAACTTATACTGTGTGTGTATGTATGTATATATAGTCTTGTCTGGCAAAAAAAATTTCCCTGGAACCTAACCCCCCCCCATTTATGTTAATTCTTATGAGTAAATTGGATTCGCTTAACATCATTTTGCTTAAACTACAGTGTTAAGCGAGGAGTTACTGTACATCCTGCAAATTCTTAGCATGCATAGGGGACAGCTTTCAGATTCAGAAAGTTGAGGAAACAACTAGGGGGTCATCCATTTTAGAGCTGGTTTTGACCAACGGGGCTGAATTCGTTGCAGATGTGAAGGTGATTGGGAACTGATCATGATCTGATAGAATTAGGGCTGTCAAGTGATTAAAAAATTAATTGTGGAACTAAACAATAGAATACCATTTATTGAAATATATTTGGATGTTTTCTACATTTTCAAGTATGTTGATTTCAGTTATACCACAGAATACAAAGTGCACAGTGCTCACTTTATATTTTTATTACAAATATCTGCACTGTAAAAAATAGTATTTTTCAATTCACCTAATACAAGTACTGTAGTACAATCTCTTTATCATGAAAGTTGAACTTACAAATGTAGAATTATGCACAAAAAATAACTGCATTCAAAAATAAAACAAAGTCCAATTTCTTGTTCAGCCAATCCCTCAGACAAACAAGTTTGTTTACATTTGCAGGAAATAATGCTGCCCACTTCTTGTTTACATTGTCACCTGAAAGTGAGAAGAGGCATTCACATGGCACTGTTGTAGTTGCCATTGCAAGTTACATGCCAGATGTACTAAAGATTCATATGTCCCTTCATGCTTCAACCACCATTCCAGAGGATATGAATCCATGTTGATGACTCTCATTAAAAAAAGTGTTGTTATAGGAAAGGAGAGCTGCTTCAGTCTTCTCACAAAAAACAACATGTGACTGGATGACTAGAGAAGTTACCATAGGCAATCAAGGGGAAGGGATGCAGATCAGGATAAGTAAAGAACATGTCAGATATTCTGACCAATTTGAATGAATTAAAATCAGTGGGGCCGGATGCTATTCACCTGAGGGTACTGAAAGAATTAGCTGAAGATATCTCAGAACTACTGGCAATAATTAAGGCTGTGTGTCTGTCACAGATTCCCTGACCTCTGTGACTTCTGCAGTGGCTAGTGCAGCTGGCTCCATGCACCGCCCCCGCAGCTCCCACTGGCTATGGTTCCTGGCCAATGGGAGCTGTGGAGCTGGTGCTCATGGCAGGGGCAGCACACAGAGGCTCCCTGGCCTTCCCTTCCCCTAGAAGCTGCAGGGACATGCTGGCCGCTTCTGGGAAGCTGCGCAGAGCTGGGTAGGGAGCCTGCCAGCCCTGCCAACCCTCTCTTCTCTCTCCCCCCACCCCCAGCATGGGTCCCGGGCTATGCGCTGTCAACCGTCAACCCCCCCCGCAGCCCCCGACCCAAGTTTTAGTTAGGGGTATATAGTACAAGTCGCGGACAGGTCACAGCCTGCAAATTTTTGTTTACTGCCTGTGACCTGTCCATAACTTTTACTAATAATACCCGTGACTTAAACCTACCCTTAGCAATAATATTTACAAATTCATGGATGAGAGGAGAGGTCCTGGGAGACTGGTGCTAATGTAGTGCCCATCTTTAAAAAGGGGGAAAAGGTGGAGCGAGGGCACTATAGGCCAGTCGGCCTGATTTCAATACCTGGGAAGCTACTAGAGCAATGTTTAAAACATTCAATTTGCAAATACCTGGAGGATGAAGGGGTAATCACTAGCAGCCAGCATGGATTTACCAAAAACAAATCATGCTAAACCAGTTTGATTTCCTTCTTTGACAGGGTAACTGATGGATAGGGGGAAGTGCAGTGGACATAATATACCTGGACTTCAGCAAGGCTTTTGACACAGTCCCACATGACAGTCCACATTTCTACAGCTTGCTTATCAGACTCAACTGAACTACCATTAAGTGGATACATAATTGGTTAAACAACTGTAAATCAAGAGTAACTATTAATGGAATGATGTTGGATTGAAGGGAGGTCTCAAGTGGGATTCCACAGGGTTCTGTTCTGGGTCTGGTCTTGTTTAACATCTTTATTAATTACCTGGATGGTAGGTATAGAGAGCATACTAATAGAGTTTGCAGATGACAAAGCTAGGGGGTGTTGTCAATATGTAGGAGGCTAGAGCTAAAATTCAGAGGGATCTTGATAAATTGGAGAACTGGGCTACAGCCACCAAAATTAAATTCAACAAATAAATGTAAGGTGCTACATTTAGGGAAGAAAAACTAAATGTACAAATAGAGAATGGGGGAAAACTGACTTGGCAGCAGCACTGCTGAGAAGGATCTGGGAGTTGTGGTGGATCACAACCTCAACATGAGTCAGCAATGTTATGCTGTTGAGGGGGAAAAAAAAAAAAAACAAAAACCCACAAACCATGCAAATGCAATTTTAGGTTGCATTACCAGAGGCATATCATGCGAGTCATGGGAAGCAATAGTACCACTCTACTTGGCACTGGTTAGGGCTCAGCTGGAGTACTGTGTCCAGTTTTGGTCACCAATGTATAGAAAAGAGGTAGAAAACCTGGAAAGGATCCAGGGGTGAGTGACAAAGATGATCAAAGGGATGGAATGCAAGCCATATGAGCAAAGGCTGAAGGAACTGGGTATGTTCAGTTTGGAAAAGAAGAGATATGATAGCAGTCTTCAGATACTTGAAAGACTGCCATAAGAAGATGGAGAAAAGTTATTTTATTTTATGACAGAGGGCAGGACAAGAGGCAGTGGGTTCAAACTACAGCATAGCAGATTTAGATTAAATTCAGGAAAAACTTCCTAATGGAACAAACTGCCTCAGGAGGTTGTGGAAGCTCCTTCACTTCCTTTTCAAAAGGAGGCCGCATAGCCATCTGTCTTGATTGGTTTAGACAATAGATCCTGCATCGTGGCAGGGGGCTGGACTAGATGAACCTTGTGGTCCCTATGGTTCTATTGCAGGATTCACAATATCATGAATTTAGGGCCTTATGTATCTTTTAAAAAATTTTATTTTCATGTTGAATAGCAAACCATTCCATCTTAAACCCATTATGGGATGAGAGACTAGGGAAAATAGTGGTGAGATTTATGAAATGGGATTGGATTCAAGGTAGGTGGCTTCTAGATATGGATTTAAGGGGTTTATGGTAGGGAGCTGGAGTGGAAGAGGTTTTTTTTGTTTTTAAAATAGAAACACCTAGGCGCTTGGCTTTTTGACAGATTTTTGGTGTAACTGATATGATTCTTTCATTTTAGCAATTACCTGTTAAGGTGTCCAGAGGTATTTAAGCCTTTGTGGTATCATGTACCAATTACTACTGTTGGGGTCTGTGATGGGATAGTACGCTACACCCCTGCCTCATCCACAAACAGACCACACTGAGACCTTCTTGCTTGTAAAACTACATAATGGTGTTGACAGTGTTTTAATCCCTCCACCAATACATAGCAGTGTCTCCACACCTTTACACATTGTATCTCAACTTTCTAACCCCTTCTCCAATAGGAGCAGAGCTAAGGCATCTACTCAGAGGACCCCCTTTGTTAAGCTCTCCTAGATTTCTGTTTCTCTCCTTTCCCACCCCAAGTACACCTTTCTGTGCCCTTTTAGACAGTTTCCCTGTTAATGGTCTAATTGGCTCACCATCCCCAATCTGGCCTGGTAATCAGGTACACCTCTGTTCCATTAGGCCTTCTCCAAGGAACCTAATAGTGAGTAGAGTGCTGGCTCAAGTGCAGGTCCTCAGGACTCTGTTGCAGAGTCTGACACACGTTCTCCAGTAATGGAGCAGTATGAGGGAGGGACCCAATTTGCCATTGGCCCTGGAACATATTGGGGTAATGCAGATATGGGAACAGTTTCTCCTGTGAGCTCTGCAGCAATGTGGGGATGGGCCCCACCTGCTCCCCAGATGGTCTTCCCCCCATTAACTCACTGCAAGAAAACTGGAAGTCTCATCCAGGGGGGTTAGAGGCAGGGAGCAGTGGCCAATACTAATCCCTACACCCTTCTTTTCTGTTTTCTCTAGGCCTGCAGTTCGAGTTCATTAACCCTATCTTTGAGTTTTCAAAGGGAATGAATGACCTACAGCTCAACGATGCTGAATATGCACTTTTAATCGCCATCAACATTTTCTCTGCAGGTAAAAAGCCAGGAAGGGGCCAGAGAGCAGCAGCACTGAATCAAAGGGAAGGAAGGATAGAGCAGATGTGGGGTCAGAAGCAGAGGAGGAGTGACAAGGGTATAGCAGAGGGGGCAGTATCCTAGTATGGGTGCCGTGGTAACACAATATCACATGTGCTCTGAGTAATCATTATACTCAGACTCTTTGAGTTGCCCCCATAATGAGGGGAATTCTCTACTGCTTCATGACCTGTACCAAATTAACTGAAATGTAGTCTGTAGTGTCTCTTCTAGCTAGAAACCATCAATTTACTGTTTGGTGAATGCTCATGTTGTCCCTTGGTGTAGGGTAGTAGTGACATCTAGTGGTCAGTGAAAGGTATTTTGGAGTCTGTGCCCATTACAGCTTCTGAGTCATTAAAGTGCCACGCAGAGAAGTTATCAGATCAATCTTGTCTCTATTCTTTGAAAATTTATACTGTGAGGGAATAGATATTTTCTTATTTTTCATTATTTCTCCCAGTAACCCTCCTGCAAGAGAGATTCTCCCATCCCTCCCTGAATGATCACAACCTCACATCTCCATTGGGATTGGAATGTGAGGCCCAGTGAGCTAGACCAGGCTGCCCTGGCTCTGATTTTACTTTGTGGCAGGAGGTTACAAACTTACTCAATAACTTTCAAAATGTGGCTGATAAAGACAGACACGAGAAACTGATTCTCACAACTACTGCTGTCTTGCAGGAGGCATCTTGGCTGTATGCTATCTCATAGGGAGAGTCCCGGACAAGACTCAGGGCTAGTCCAGGGATTAGGATTAGCTTTAGCCTGCGATGTCAAGACTGGCCAGGCTGCCTACAGCTACCAACTAATGTCTTAACCTGTTTCTTGGCAGACCGACCAAATGTGCAGGATCAGTCCCTGGTGGAGAGACTGCAGCACACCTATGTAGAGGCCCTTCATTCTTACATTTGCATCCACAGACCAAATGTAAGTGCCTGGCTGAGTCCTGAAAAATGACTAAACAAGTGTATGTGTGAGAGTTGATTTTATGATTGATATGCTCCTCTAATTCCCCACTCCCTGAATGAATCTTCTGCAGTCAGTGGTCATGCACCATTTCCTTCAGCTATTCCCCAATAGCCAGCAACCTTGTACCAGTCCCCTACAGGACCTCCTATTGGTAGAGGCTGGAGCTGGAGGAGTTTTGAGTAGAGCTGGGCAAAATGTTTTGGATGAATAGTTTGATGAAAAATGCACTTTCGGTTAACCAAAACTATTAATGAATTGGGTGAAATTTGGCAAGTAGTTTAGGTCAGAAATTTTTTGGAGAAATCATAAAATCATGGAAATGTAGGTCTAGAAGGGTCCTTGAGTGGTCATCTAGTCCAGCCCTCTGCATTGAGGCAGGACCAAATAAACCTAGACCACAGGCATTATACCTGTTCTTAAAACCTCCAATGATGGGGATTCCACAACCTCCCTTGGAAGCCTAGTCCTGTGATTTATCTATCTTTTTATAGTTAGAAAGGATTTCCTAATATCTAACCTAAATTGCGATTCCTAAAGATTAAGCCCATTACTTCTTAGCCTACTTTCAGGTGACAGTCTAGAACAGCCCTTAACATACAGTATTTGAAAAACCTGTTATCAGGTCTCCACTCCGTCTCCCCCAGCCCCGATGGAGTATGCCAAGCTTTTTTTAGCCTTTCCTCACAGGTCAGGTTTTCTAAGCTATTTATCATTTTTGTTGCTCTCTTCTGGACTCTCCAGTTTACCACATCTTTCCTAAAGTGGTGCACACAGAACTGGACTCAGTATACCCGCTGAGGCCTCACCAGTGCAGAGTAGAGCAGGTTACCTACCTTTTATGACATACAACACTCCTGTTAATACACCCCAGAATACTAGCCTTTTTCCACAACGCCATCACATTGTTGTTTCATATTCAGTTTGAGAGACACTATAACCCCCAGATTCAGTTAATTCCTTAAGTACCCTAGGATGAATTTCATTAGGCCTTGCCGCCTTTAATACATCTAACTTATCTAAATATTATTTAACTTATTCTTTCCCTGTCTTGGCATGTATTCTTCCCCCTTGTTAAGTATCTGGTCACCATTAATCTTTCCAGTGAAGTCTGAAGCAAAATAGGCATTAAATACCTCAACCTTCTTAATGCATGTTATTTGCTCTCCTTCCCTGCTAAGTAGTGGACCTACACTTTCCTTTCTCTTGCTCTTAATGTATTCATAAAACCTCCTCTTATTGCTTTTTGTGTTCTTTGCTACATGTAACTCATTTGTGCCATAATCTTTGATTTTGTCCCTACATGCTTGCTCTAATCTTTTTGCGCATCCTTAGAAATTTATCCATGTTTCCACATTTTGTAGGATTCCTCTTTGGTTTTAAGTTCGTTAGAGAGCTCCTGGTGAAGCCATATTGGTCTCTGTGACGGAGGGCACTCACTTCTCATGAGCACCTCTAATTGGCTAGGTGTGATGCTGCAATCTGTTTTCTCCTAGCACCCACTGTACGTTGTCAACCTCATTGGGGGTCTGCAGTGGCTCAGTCCTCCAACCAAATCACATAGTCAATATGAATGAGCAAAGATATCCTTCCAGGGTAACGAGTTTAAACACACTGTCAACCCTCATGTGGGTCTTCAGCCCTGTTTCTGGGCCCTTTAACGATCAGGCTTCTCAACAGGCTTTGTCCCTCTCTCAGGACTTTTGCTACTTCTCCAGTGGGAAAACCCAGGCTTTCCCATTAGCCAAATCCCAACCCAGGGACCCTGTAAACAGCACCCACATACTGCTTCCTCCAGGTTGCTGCTGCTATTTCCTGGGCATTTTCCCACATAGCCCTCTCCTTTCACCCATTACCTTAAGGTTACAGTTGTCAGGTCCTCTTGTTCTCAGGGCCAGTAAATCAGACTATTGAGTGCCTCTGAGCAGATTATATTATATTATATTTATATTCCCTCCCTTCCAGTCCTAGCTAGGAACTGACCTGCTCGGTTCTGCTGCTTGCAGTTCCTTTTATCTGAGGCTGCTGTGCTCTGATTGGCTGCTTCTGCGCAGACTTTCTAGGCAGTTCTGGAGGACCCACCTTTGCTGCTCCTTTCCTGGGCTGGGGTATGATAGAACCACAAAGCCTCCAGCAGGGGGCCTTAAAGGGCCAGGCACACCACGTAACAGCCTCTTACTAGTCTTTATATCTTTCTTGCATTGGGATAGTTTGCTATTGTGCCTTTAATATTGTCTCTGAGAAACTGCCAGCTTTCCTGAGCTCCTTTTTGCCTTAGATTTTCTTCCTATGGCACCTTACCTACCAGTTTTCTGAGTTTGTTAAAGTCTGCTTTTTTAGGGTTACCATATTTTAAGTGTCCAAAAAGAGGACACTGCACGGGGCCCCGGCCCCGCCCCAACTCCGCCCCTTCCCGGGCCCCGCCCCAACTCCGCCCCCTCCCCTGAACGCTTCGCCCCCCTGCCCCTCCCCCTCCCCTGCTTCCCGCGAACATTTGATTCGCGGGAAGCCTGAAGCAGGCAGGCAGCAGGTAAGCTGGGGCTGGGGGGCGCGAGGAGGCGCGGCCCAGTCCGGCCCCCCCGGCCGAGCAGCTCCCTTTGGCGGCCGGCCGGCCCAGGCCAAGAGGCTCTGGTCCCGGCGTCTCCCGCCCGGCTCGGCTCGGGCCCTGGGGCGCCGACCCCCGGCCGAGCACCGCCGGTCCCAGTGGCTCCGGCCCCCGGCCGAGCACCGCCGGCCCCTCCCTCCCTATTTTCCCGGACATGTCCAGCTTTTTGGGATTTCCTCCCGGACCGGGATTTGAGGCCCAAAAAGCCGGACATGTCCGGGAAAATCCGGACATATGGTAACCCTATCTTTTTTGAAGTCCATTCTCTTTATTCTGCTGCTCTCATTCCTCTCCTCAGAATCATGAAATCTATCATTTCACAATCACTTTCATTTAAGTTGCCTTCATCCTTCAGATTCGCAACCAGTTCCTCCCTGTTGGTCAGAATCAAGCCTAAATTGGCTGTCCCACTGGTTACTGCCTCCACCTTCTGAAACAAGAAGTTGTCTCCAGTACATTTAAAGAACTTATTGGAAATGTTGTGTTTTTCTGTATTACTTTTCCAATAGATGTATGGTTAGTTAAAGTCCACCATTACTATGAGGTCTTTTGTTTTGGATATTTCTGTAATTTGTTCTAGAAATCTCTTACACCTCCTCCTCCTGATTTGGTGGTCTATAGTAGACCCTTACCATGACATTGTCCATTTTCCCCCTTTTATCTTCACCCAGAGACTTTCAACTGGTCTGCCTCTCACCTCCTTCTGGATCTCAGAACAAGTGCATTTTTAATGTATAATGCAATACCTCCTCCCTTTTTTCCCTGCTTTTCCTGCCTGAACAAGCGATACCCCTTTATATCAATATTCCAGTCATTAGATTTATCCTGCCAAATCTCAGTGATGACAATTAAGTAATAATTTGGCTTATGTACTAATATTTTCACTTCCTCCTATTTATTCTCTCTACTCCTTGAATTTGTGTATAGCCATCTAAGATGATGAGCAGATTCCTTTACTGTTTTCCCTCTTGTTGCTCCTATGAATTTATTGTAATTTTTCATTTTACCTTCAACATCTAGCTCTCTGTTAAGATCACCTTTTGTTATATCCATCTGTAGGCTTATGTTACCTGCCCCCTCTGAACCTAGTTTAAATCCCTGATCACTAGGTTGGTGAGTTGATGTCCAAAGATGCTCTTCCCCCTTCTTTGTCAGGTGGAACCCATCTCTTCCCAGCAGTCCTCCTTCCCAGAACAGCATCCCATGGTTGAGGAAGCCAAAGCCCTTCTGTCAACACCATCTCTGCAGCCACTTTTAGACTTTTCATTCTGAAACAGCTTTTCAGTCAAAATTTAGTTAGATTTATTCTACAAGATGTGAAAAAATTGAAACAAAAATTGTTTCAGGTTGAACAAAACATTTTCATTCAACCCAAAATGATTTTTTCCTGTTTTTATTTTGGCTACCAACCTAAAATATCAGTTTTTAGTTCAGCTATAGTTATTAACTCCCCCAGCCTATAATCCTGCACCATTCCCAGCAGCACCCTACTGGGAAATGCTGAGTCTGGAGTAGCTGTGATCTCCCCACACTGGTGCTCCTGTCCTATTCTGTACTGGGAGATGCTGGTATCGGAGGATGTGAGCTTGTGCTTTTAATGCATCCAGTAGGTGGTTTGTCTTGTGAGCAAGATTCTGGATTTACTTATGACTGTCTATTTGTGTGACCCTGCAGGACCATCTGATGTTCCCTCGGATGTTAATGAAACTGGTCAGTCTTCGGACTCTAAGCAGTGTCCACTCCGAACAAGTTTTTGCCCTTCGACTACAGGACAAGAAACTCCCTCCCCTGCTCTCAGAAATCTGGGATGTGCATGAATGACTATGTGCTCCCAGGGAACTGACCTGCTGAAGTAACACCACCTCCCATCCCTTGCTAACAAGAAGCCAGCCTCCCCTCTCCAAAGCACTGAATTGGAGGCTGGGCTGGGCAGTGCAGAGTGATGAGCCTGTGGTTTCTCTGATGTGATGAGACTGTGCATAAGGCATCTGGGAGAGATCAGATGTTTTTGTAATCTTTGATTTAGTGCCTCCTAGAAATGGGATCATGTGTGAAACGCCTGAAAATGCTAGAGATGAACATCCCACCCCAAATGTTTCTTCAGTGTCTGTCTTTTTTCTAAGTACGTGTTCTGGGGTTTTGCCCCACCTTCCTTTCCCTTCTCATTGATTCTGAAAGTGAATTTGCAGGAACTTGTTAAATGTTCACTGAGAGCATCCTAGCCCCAAAGGCTTCCCCAGGATTCTTAGGGGAAGTTTATGTCGATGTGCTGGGGGTTTTCTTGTATTCCCTGTATTTAAAGTCTCTATGATGTGCTGCCCTTCACAAAGATTCCCAGAAAAGAGGCTGTTGGTGGCATTCCCTCTTTGTGAAGCTTCATTTCTAGAGCTGTCCTTTCATTCTGGCCCTCCTTTGGCAAGTAGATCCCTGGAATGTGCAGTGCCATTTACTGAAAGTTATTCTGTGGACATCTTTTATGTACCATAGAGAAACCATGGATCATCTAGCTGGTTTTTTTTAATAAGGTTGCTTATCATTATAGTATCTTTTGGTTTGCTAGCAGGTGAAACCAATGACTTTAAAAACCATGGAATAGATTTTATGTTGGGGTTTGTGGAGGAGAAGAGAGAGGAATGGAAGCATCAGTGTCCGGGCAGTAGAGGTGGTGGAAGTATATCGAGAACCACCAAAATTTTAGTATATTTAGTGGGTTCCAGTGAGAGTGAAGATTATCAGCTGGGGACTGAGAATGCACTATATTTATAGCATATTAGCAGGCATTGCCTAACCTATGGGCTGCACAACTCTCTCAGAACCCTGTCTGCAGGAATATTGAGCATAACCAGCTCTGTCCAAGTGTTCTCCCTTATGCTAAAGGTCTTTCCAAGTGTATGGTCATTTGTTAGTGATTAGTGGGATGTGGAGGTATCTCGGTGTGATGAGTACCCTCCTGCTCTTGTATATGAAACAGGGTTAAAAAAAGAACTAGATAAATTCATGGAGGATAGATCCAACAATGGCTATTAGCCAGGGTGGGCAGCGATGTCCCTAGCCTCTGTTTGCTAGAAGCTGGGAATGGGTGACAAGGAATGGATCACTTGATGATTACCTGTTCTGTTCATTCCCTCTGGGGCACCTGGCACTGGTCACTGGGGAAGACAGGATACTGGGCTAGATGGGCCTTTGGTCTGACCCAGTAACGCTGTTCTTATGTACTTCTTAAATCCTCTCCTTTCCACCTTGTGCATGGTAAGACTCACCAGTGACCCCTTGGTCCATAAGTATTTTAGTATTTAGAGCAATAATTTGACAAAACAGAAAAGTGTCATTGCAAAATGCATTTCTCATTCTGCAAGAAACATCAAACAGTATTTGATCCCAGAGATGTAACCCCAAGTCCCCTGGTTTCATGTATTTTGTCTCTAACAGGGATCTATGTTTGCTTGCCCAGTGAGCATCCCGAGAGGCTGGGTTCACAAGGCTCATCGTTTTGGGCTGTGTATGTGAGCACCAGGCCTCTGGCAAGGGCTTTTTGTCCATTTTGCACTCAAGGTTGGTCCCTTGCCTCTAGCCTTCATTCTGCACCTTCGTAAAGCACTTGTAATAATCTGTAAAATAATCTGTTATTTTTTATAACTCGTTGCAATTGCAAAATTTCTTGTTTAAATCTGTATTTTTAACTAATCTGTTTGAGAAATGTTAATGTTTATACAAAAGAATAAAGCCTAATACAGGATTTTTGACTAGCTATGATGCACCATATTTTAGGAAAAAGAACAGGAGTACTTGTGGCACCTTAGAGACTAACAAATTTATTATAGCATAAGCTTTCGTGGGCTACAACCCACTTCTTCGGATGCGTCCGAAGAAGTGGGTTGTAGCCCACGAAAGCTTATGCTCTAATAAATTTGTTAGTCTCTAAGGTGCCACAAGTACTCCTGTTCTTTTTGCGGATACAGACTAACACGGCTGCTACTCTGAAACCTGTCATATTTTAGGGTTGGCATAAAGTCTTAATCTTTTGAACCCCAAGATAATTATTAAAAAGGGGAAACCCAGCAGGGAGGAGGAAGTGGTTGAGAATGAATGACAGTATGGCTCCAATTTAACTTCCTTCACCCTCTCCACATGCAGGATAAACCTCCTATTAGAGTCCTCAGCTTGCTATATATCTTTCTGTGACCCATACACCGCTGTGATACAGAGGTGGCTCGGTGGGGCCAATGCAGCACACGGAGACTACAGGACCCAGCATGCATATTCCATCTTGATTGGTACTGCCAGGGTCAGGGGAGAGCATTGCATGCTGGGATCTGTAGTCAAGTGACCCGCATCTCCCGCACGGGGAGGTGGGGGCTGCAGCCTGTTCTGGGCTATGCTCATTAAGCCCCTTGCCTTCATTAGAACACGTAGCAAGCGCTGGCTGGCTCCCTGTCTTGCCCTGGGAGGTTCCCGGGGTCGCAGCGGGCGACTGACCACCGCAGCTCCCTCCGTGCCCGACCGAGGCCGGTGCGCCGCGCAGCCTCCAGCGCCCCGCCTCTGCAGCGCCCCTGCGCCGTGCGGTGCCCAGGTGCGCTCCCCTCCGCCGTGCACAAGTGGTTCGCTCCTCACCCCACCCCTCGGTGGTTCGCTCTGCTCCGGGCTCTGGATGCGGAACTGACCGGTCGGCTCAGAGCAGCAGGGGGCGGCGGCGGACGCGGCCTGTGGGGGCAGGTAGAGGCAGGCCCCGCTGCGGGGGCAGAGCTGACGGCTCGGGGGCTGCGTGTGGTAGGGGCTGGAGGAGCCGGGGGTGCGCGTTAAGGGCAGTGCGGGCCTGGTGTGGGTGGGCGGTGTGTACCCTGAGGGCAGTGTGGGGTGATTGGGTTGGGTGCGTAGGGGCAGGGGGTGGGTACACAGGGAGCAGGAGGCAGTGTGGGGTGATTGGGATGGGTGGGTACACTGGGAGCAGGGGGCAGTGTGGGGTGATTGGG